CCCCCCCCCCGGGTGATTTGCCCAGGTAGCACAGCTAGTAAGTGTCAAGTGTCTGAGGCCTGATTTAAACTCAGGTCCTCCTGACTCCAAGGCTGCAGCTCTATTCACTGCGCCACCTAGCTGCCCTTATAGTTTGCTTTTTACTTCTAAGGTGTTACAATTTAACTTTTGGATCTGTTCTGATTGCCTTGTCCCTCTGTTGTTTTTGTCATTTTAAAAAATGCTCCGTGACTTTCCTTCTTTATTGTTGTTTTTGGCATCACAATCTCTAGTCTCCCTCAGGTAACAGGTTTTATATGGGGAGGTTCAGCTGTTTTGCTGTGAAGTGTCTTTTGTAAAGTCCAAACATACAATTTCTGTGAAGAAACTGCACAGAAAGACAGAAATGTATGAACAGGATCATTTCACAAAACAAAAATGAAATGCAGATAAGAACCAAGGAGGCTAAATTGGCCAAACAACATGTATATGAGAGTGAAGGAGGTTTGACAAAGACTTGAAATGAAACAGACTTGTATTACTACAGGACCTTGTTTGTACTATCAATGACAGGGGAGGTGCCACATTTGAACTCTCAATTCACTGTATCTGATACAACTTATGAAGAAATAGAAATAAAATCAAGCCTCAGAATACTACATTGTTTACTGGGAGATCACAGAACATTAAAAGATGAGCATATCTACAGAAAACAGAATATACCAATTGTATAAAGAAGGGATGGTGATGGACAGCCCATCTAATCAAGAGATTTAGAGCAAGGCCCCAAGCAGACTGGGTGAAATCCCTGTAGCAGCTATTTGTCAGGGCACGGACAACTCGCACAGGATGTTAAGCCATGCATGGATTGTGATGGATTGTGAGTGGTTATCAAGTGGAGAGAGTGCCCCTATCAATGAGAAATACAAATAGTGGAGTAAGGAGGGTGCATTTTACCCAGATTACAGTAGATGGATAGTAAGAGCAGTGAGTTAATGCCTACATATATCTTAAATGAGCCCTGAATGTTCACAAAGATCTAGGTCTAGAGGTGAAAAGGAGGAAGAAGAGTACAGGGTACAATGTATGTAGAAAACTGGGAAGTACATTAAATGATCTCAAGATATTCCACCATAAAATGGTCCCTTTTCAACTGCAACTTTCTCTCTGAAGTTAAATGGCTGTGCATTGTGGATATCCCTGAACTACAAAGGATTCAGATCACAGGTGGATGAAAAGCTAATGGAGAGAGCCATGGCATGGAGAAGCAGGCTACAGCACAGGACCATTGATGATCTGCCTACAAGAACATTGTTAAGGATCTCACTACTTTAATTATTCTACTTTTTCCTCATTTGTTTTTCACCAGAAGATCTGTATATGTATGTGTGAAATGCATGCCAATGTTCAGGGGTGTCATTTTGTCACCGTCTGCTGTTTCTGTGACCCTTGATGATAGGCAGCCCATGGTAGCAGAAGTCATCAGAAATGGCACGCAGGAACCCTCCATTCTAATACTTGCTCTGCCACCAGTTGGCTTTAAGAACATTGGGCAAGGCACTTAACCTGTCTTGGATGTATCTTCTCATCACGCCTGACAAGGCTGCTAAAGAGAAAATGAGAGAATGGGAGGGTCTTTGGATTATGGTTGCTGTCATCCTCTTTTCTCCACCTGGATTAGACAGCCCACCAGCTTTTTCCACAGATGCTTCAGAGGAGAATTGGCTAACTGTTGCTACTTAGGAGAGGTACTACTAATCCAAACCATATTTGAAAGAAATGCACACTACTACATATCTAATACATGGGCTCCAGTCTCTCCTCCTGTGTATTGATGCAGCCCATTCTACTTGTAAACAGATGTAATTATTAGGACATTTTCCCTTATATGCCTAGATTTGCCTTTTTTTTTTAAAAAAAAACAATCTTAACACATTGGTTCTCATTCTGCCATCCAGGACCAAACAATAAATCTAATCCCTTTTCCCTGTGACGACTTTTCAAATAACTAAAGACACTGTTGTATCCCCTGAATCTCCTGTAGTCTACGTTCCCAGTTTCCTTCATCTGATCCTTATATGGCATAGACTTTCACCATCCTGCTTGCCTTCCTCTGGTACTTTAGTGTATCAAAGTCCTTTAATTGTGGTGCCCAAAACTGAAGACAGAACTCCAGATGATTCCTGAGAAGGGCAGAGTATAGATGGACTGTTACCTCCTGATTCTTGAAACCTATGCTGTTTTTATGCCCCTCAGGATTGCATTAGCTTCTTTTGGCTGCTACATGGTGACTGCACAACCCTCCCTCACGTAAATGCAATTCCCTTGCAAGTCAGGGCATCACCTCCCGGAAGTCATGATCCTCTTTGAGAACGAAGGGACAGATAGCAGCAGCAGCTGCAGCTCGGCTAGTTCGTATAGAGCTGCTAGCCTACTATAAGGCCTTGATCTTTTTCAGACAAACTGCTGTCTAAACCATGAATCTCTCATCCTGTATTTTCTAAATTGATTTTTTTATACTCTAGTGCAAGACCTTGTATTTCTTTCTATTGCATTTCATCTTCATAAATTCAGTCTGCTGCTCTAGCCCAGAGGTGTTCAACTCTTGCAGATTAAAATGTAATTGGGAAATGTTTAGCAAAATAAAGATGCAATATGACATGATATTAATTTGTGGTTTTCTGAGTTAATATGTGACCTCCAAAGATCCATTTCTATTTGGGTTTGACACCACTATTCTGGTCTGTCAAGATTTTTTTGGGTCCTGTCATAGAGTTTGTTAGTTGCCCCTCCCAACTTAGTGTTATCTCGATGAGCTATTTTACAGAATTTTCAAGCCCACTTGGTAATGAGTACATCTATATTTGTTTATTTTGCTTTTTGTATTATTTCCTGTTTTTCTCTTTTAGCTTTGATCAGTCTGTTCCTTATAGACCAGCAGTTTTGCCAGATTGCTGTTGGGTCAGTGTCTTTTTTAAATGTAAAGTGTTTAGAATGACAGATGGAAATTGAAGTACTTTTCAGTCAAGTAGTTATATTGTTATAATGTCACTGTATTTCTTATAGCTGGTGCCTCACTTAAAAGAATTTCAGCAGCTTTTAATTTCAATTTTAACATTCTCTTATTTTTTTTCAACAACTCTTTAAATTAGTATCCTTTATTTATGTAAAAATGCAGTTGACTATCAATATCTGAAATTCACAAATTATTTAGACCTCTAATCATCATAATAAACATTTAGATAATTAGATTTTGTATATATATTTTACCTCCTCCTGGCCAATATGTATAGTGAAAAATTTCTCCAGTGGTGAAAGATTTTTTTAATGTATGTTCTGGAAGAGTAAGGATTTATAATCTATACTGGCATCTAAATTGACATTTCAAGATTTGTATAATAACACAAGTAATATTGTTATTGAATGTTTTATTGCAGAAAGAGGAAAATAACTTTGCAGTTAAAGACTGGTGTGAAGGAGCAGAAGACTGGGGAGATGACAGTGAAAGCGATCTTGCACCATGGATTACCAATGATCTACTTGACTCAAATGTAGGAGATAATTTTAATGTAGATGAAGACAGAGAATGTATGTCCCAACTCCAAGAACTCACACTAGATGAAGCTTTAAGTGACTCTCATTCCTTTGGTCATACAATACCAGCAGGAGAAGGACATGTACTGCCTAGTTCATCAGTTCCTGTGTTTAAGCCCTACTATATCAATGTTGTGGATGAGGAAGATTATATTAACTTTGTTGATACAAATCATGCCCAAAAACTTCTGCAAGAGTATAGGCAAAGGGAGGGAATTGAACTGGAACTTTTGATAGCTCAAAGGTGAGAATATTTGCAATGGAGAGGGAATTAGGGCAGGGATCAATCAGTGGCTTAGTAGGCTAAGGGGATAGAAGGAGTAAACTGTTCACTTTTACCATTCTTGCAGGATTTGTCACCTTGTTAGTGACTTTTAAAGCAAAACAAAACTTACTGACAACAGCCCTAGAGGCAAGTATATTACCTACAACAGGGTACACAAGTTACAGAGAGGCACCGATGGTGTACTGGCTTAGGAGCCAGGAGAGTGGAAGTCTGGTCTTGTTTGCCACCATGTGACCTTGGTCAGGTTGGTCAGTTTTCTTGGGTCTCAACTCATCTGTAAAATGAAAAATTTGGATGGGATGATCTTTGAGTATCCTCAGTAAATCTGTGATTTAAAAATTCTAGAATTAAAGAATTATTTAGGATCTACTCAAGTCATTTAAAAAATATGTTAATAGCTAACAGAAATTTCAGAAAATTCCACTAGGAAAATTCCATGTATTAATAGCTTTATTGGCTTCAATTTAGAGGAAAGTTTAGCAGATTTGCCTTATTTCAGAGTAGTGTGATGCATGGACTTATTTTCATCTTGAAGAATAATATTGCCTGAAATAGAGGAAGAAAATCTATCTCAAGTGAGGTATTTTTTTCTCTTAAAATAAAAAACTTTTCTCCCCTCCAACTATAAAGAATAACATGACTCTTTTCTTTTCATAGTTTCATTTTTGACAATGGTGAAAAATATGAGAAGGCTGTTTCTGAAAGTAATGATAAAATATTTTATAAATTTATGAAAAGAATATCTGCCTGCCGTGAACAGATTCTGAGGTAAAGAAGGGGGTGCTTTGGGGCTAACCTGTTTACAGTTAGAAAAAAGGTACAGCATTACTGTTCATTTAGGTATAGTAGTAAAACTTTTGTTGTTTTAATACCAAATATGTAGATTTTTGGCATTAATCGTGATTTTTAATAGAAAAAAGCAGGCAGCTTTTATTTCTTCCCTTTTCTATGGGGAAAAGTATAGTTTTTTGCAGAAATTCTGAGCCAGCAAGAATTGGTTTGGGAGGGATATCAATTCTATAAAGTGAAAACTAGAATGTCTAATTAGCCATATTTACTAGTGAGCTGCTCAAGTCTTTGCTTTGAGAAAGTAGGTGAGTGGCAGTTTGTAAAACTTGTCTTAAGTAGTTTTCTAATAAATGTTCATGATGTTTTATAACTTGTATAAAAGGAAAGCAGTTGGGGTGTGTTTGTGTGTGCTTGGTGTCTAAGGGCTTCTGTCTTTTCTTCTAGGTATTCTTGGAATGGGCAGCCTCTCTTTATAACCTGTCCTTCATCAGATGCTACTGAGATTCCATCCTGCAGTAACTGTGGGAGCTGCAGAGTATTTGAGTTTCAGCTTATGCCTGCATTGGTCAGCATGCTCAAAAATACTCTGTTAGGTAGTGTACTTTTTATTATTTTAACTGAGCTATTTAGCGTTAATTTGACATGCTATTAATGAATTGTAACTAAAGCTTTCCTTTTTTTTTTTTTTTTTTGGTGAGGCAACTGGGGTTAAGTGACTTCCCCAGGGTCACATAGCTAGTAAGTGGCAAGTGTCTGAGGCCACATTTGAACTCAGTCCTGACTCCAGGGCCTGTGACCTATCCACTAAACCTTTCCTTTTAATACTTCCTTTGGGCATGGAGGTGACTGTGGCATCTTGAAGGCCATGCTAGCAGAACATAATAAGCTCTAGCAGGTCTTATCAGATTGGAAAAGCTTCAAGTATGGACCTAGTCTCATTAGTCAATCAGCAAGTGTGTATTAAGTGTCTGCTGCATAACAGGCACTGTGCTAGATGCTGGGGTAAATACAGGTAAATCAGTTCCTGTCTTTGAGAAGCTTACAGTCTAGCTAGGTGAAACGTGTGTGTGTGTGTGTGTGTGTGTGTGTGTGTGTGTGTGTGTGTGTATCTGTCTACGTTGACAGTGATATAGCTATTAATATAGGTATATATATATATATACACATTCAAAATCGATGCTAGATAATTTGGCAGCAAAGGCACTACTAGCATGTGGAGAGTCAGGAAAGGCTCTGTGTAGAAAGTGGTATTTAAGTTAAACCTTGAAAGAAGTTAGAGATTTTATGAGGCAGAAATGAGGAGGGAGTGTTTGAGACAGTTATTGCAAAGGTCTAGAGATGAGAGATGGAGCACTGTGGGTGATCAACAGTTTTTCTCAAAACCAGCCTAGCCAAGATGAGAGAAACCAAAAGGTTGAATGCCACATGGTAATTTTTTTTTGATGCTCCAGCTCAAGAAACCATGTATTCAAAGACATGAAGGGTTTTTGTTTTGGTAGAGTGAGCTACCCACTTTGACGAAATCATATCTTTTGAGATGACTTAATTTTTTATAAGTTAGAGCAGGCAGATTTGTTGTTAAAAAAAAAAAAGGCATGGGGGGGGTGGTTCTCGCGGCCTGTTTTTATACCACTGGTATTTGCATACAATTTGTCCCAGAAGCTCTTCGTTTGTTTTTAGAAATAATTTTGTAATCAGTTAAATAACCAGACTTTAATGTAATATGTAATAAAAAAACTAACTAGCATATATGAGGTACTGAATTTATATTCACTGTTTAGTGAAAAGAAAAAAAAATTTTTTATAGTTTGTTTTTTTCCTTTGTGAAACTCTTTGGTTTCCATGATATGATAATATTTTTGTTTGCCTCTACTTCTCAGAATTATTCATCTGTTTCTGTTATTGGCTTCCACTAATCTTCAGCTGTGTACATATCCTAAGGTGCTGACCTTTGTTTTCTTCTATTTATGCATTCTCTGTTGAAGAACTCATCCTTTTGAACTAGACTTATATGCTGATTATTCCAGTGACTATATCTCCAGCTCATCCGGTTTCTTGAATTCTACTTATGTGTCTCCAAACTGGCTACAGGACATTTTTTTTTTTTTGTCTAGGCAGTGGGATTAAGTAACTTGCCCAGGGTCACACAGCTAGTGTGTGTTTTGTGTCTGAGGCTGGATTTAAACTCACGTCCTCCCTAGTCCAGGGCCGGTGCTGTATCCACTGCGCCACCTAGCTGTCCCCCCAGGACATTTTTATTTCACCTTAATCCCAGCTAAACCAGCCTAACATACTCCTGGCTTAATTAACTCTTGTTGGTAATTATCATTCTTCCAGGTATCTTTGACTTCTCCTTTTCTTCACAAACCCAATAAGTTACTAAATCGGGCCATCTCCATTCGTCCTGATCTATATCTTGCCACTGGACTCAGATGGCTGTGGAGGAGAGAGTGAGGCTGGTGACTTTGCACAGCTCTCCGTCACTTAAATCCAGTTCACTTGCAAGTCATGGCATCACCTTCCTGAAGTCATGATCCTCTTTGAGAATGAAGGACAAACAACATCAATAAAAAGTTACTAAATGATGTTGACTCTTCCAGTAAATCCAGTAGCCTGTTGCAGGCAGAGGGTCTAAAGTAGGGATTTTTAACCTTTTTCTGTTAATAGCTTGGCAGTATGATTGAAGCTTCTCAGAATGTCATTAAATGCATAAAATAAAATACATAAGATTACAAAGAAAACCAATTATATTTAAATAGTTACCAAAATATTTTTTAAAAAGTTCACTGACCTCCTGAAATCTATCCATATATCCCAAGTTAAGAACCCTTACCCTAAAGGGAGATGTTATCAGCCCAGCTTTTTCTTTTTTCTTTTTCTGCTTCCATAAATTTGAATTTGTGAATATAGTCATATTTTCTGCTTGTATTATATCCTTGGGTAGAGTTCCATATGCTTATGCTTTCACTTTGTGAAATATTTGTCTTTAGTTTCTATTCTGATTTTGGTAGGAATTCAGGCATTAGAGAGGAAAAGGGCTTTTGGAAGCTATATTTTATCTTATACTGCTTTTCTCCTAATTTTAAATTTTGTTCCTAAGTTATGGTTGGAAAGTCTGATCATTCCAGGAATGTATTTAGAAGCTGGAACAACTACATGAGAATAATTTTTAATTATACCCCTCTCAGTCACATTTGCAGGCTCCTTGGTCAGAGCCAAGTTAATAAAATACAGTTTTAAAATGTTAAATGAATTTATTTCAAAGGAATTTCTGTACATTTATATCTTGTGTCTTACAGATATCTCTGTTGAATTTGGAACAGTTTTAATTTATACTTGTCAGAAGAGTTGTTGGCCTACTAATCATCAAAATCCAATGGAAGAGTTTTGTATTATACAAGAAGATCCAGATCAAATGTTATTTAAATAGAATCTTTCCTTTTCATTGTGTAAATAAAATTTAATTTTTAAACTGGCAAAAGCACTGGTGTTAAAAAGATGAGTTTTTGTGGCAATAGGCATCTGGGGATCATTAAAAATATTGTGCAATTTCCCAAATGTAATTCAACCCGATTTTCTCCTATTCATTTATCGCCCTCATAACCAATTTTCTCCTAGGAATGGTAGATTGCTGCGAATCACAGAATACCAGGGTCTCAAAAGAATCAGAATTGTATGTGACCTTAAGTGATGAACAAACATATGGTGTGTATATAAGTGAACAGTGGTATAATTACATTGGCATATATTTTGAGAAATACCATGAAAAGAAATAATCAAGCATTTGTTTGACTCAAAATGGAGCTAGGCTGGTTACAGCTCCAGATTTTAATAGTACCAGAGAAAGACCTCGAGCACACTGGGTAGATCCTTTCTGGAGAATTTATAGAAAGACGTGGACAAGAACCAATTGGGAAAGGAGCAATGGAAACTATTTTGTAATTTTCTTCGGTGGAGGTGAGGTAAATTGGTCTTTGACCAATTAAATAGAAGAAAATTTCTTCCACCCCTTTAGTCTCATGGAGATGATTTTCTTTCTCCATGAAAAACCTAATTAAAAATGAATTGTAAGAGATGGATTATAGTATGCGTAACTTTTACAATACATGCTAGTCTATTGATTCATAAAAACATAAGAAATGTGATCCTTAGACTGTGTTCCTGGGTTCATCAAGACCTGTCTTTAGGTGTGCAGAGATGGAAGAGTGGTGCTGTTAGGTCCCCTCCCTCTCAAAACTACCTTTTATTTTGAATTTCTATATGCTTAGTTTTTTTTTTTAATTGTATTATAGCCATCAAAAATTGCATATGCTTATACAAAATTATTTTGAGTGTGCTTATCCCTTCAGAATATGAGCTTTTGAGTAGGGGTGGTTTCACTGAGTACCTGGCATATAGTAGGCACTCAATAAATACAATATTAATTGATTAATATGTTATCCTAAAACCTTATAATATTGTAGAAAGAAAACTGGATTTCAGAGTGGACCCGGGTTCAGATGTGGGGGCTGTGCTGCCTTACCATCTTAGAGGCTTATTGATGTTAAACTGTTGACTTCTGAGCTTTAGTTTCCTCATGAATAAAACAGAAAGGTTGTAATTAATCTCAGATCCATTCTAGTTTCAAATTCTGTATCATCTTTCTTATCCATGGACTGACCTAAACCCTTCCTGAATCAGGTTTTGGGGCCAATGAGTTCTGTTAAGTTTATTCCTGCATTGTAAAGTTTTACTTCTTACTAGTATGTCCCAGTTTATAACCTTAATGACTCATCGTGGCAGAGGTAACGCAGATTCCTGAAAGCCATCACAACAAAGCAAAGCGACAGAAGTACAGAATGATCTGAAAAAAATCTTTAAAATCATCTAGTCCAATAAGAAGGAACAATTAGGAGAAATTGAGAAAGTCTTTTAAAGCTATTGATGCAGTTTGAGTAAAGTAGGACTAGAAGAATGACATACACATTGCCCAGAAGTATACATTGAAGCTGGAAGAGTGCTGATACCTAATCCAGGAAGAGCAAAAAGAAAGAAAACTATAGACCAATTTCCCTAATGAATATTGATGCAAAAATTTTAAATAAAATAGTAGCAAGGAGATTATAGCAATACATCACAAAAAATATGAACAGGTGGGATTTGTACCTGGAATTCGGGGCTGGTTCAATATTAGGAAAACTATCACAGTAATTGACCATATCAATAACAAAACCAACAAATCATATGAGTATCTCAATGGATGCAGAAAAAGTGTTTGACAAAATACAACATTGATTAAAAACACTAAAAAGCACAGGAATAAATGGAGCTTTAAATAGTAGGTATTATCTGTAATGGGGATAAGCTAGAAGCCTTCCCAATAAGATCAGGGTGAAGACAATGGGTGCTGCCCTTTATCACCACTATTATTTAATACTCTAATAGAAATGTTAGCTATAGCAATAAGAAGAAAAAAAATTGAAGGAATTAGAATAGGCAGCAAGAAAACAAAACAATCATCCTTTGCAGATGATATGATGGTATACTTGGAGAATCCTAGAGAATTTACTAAAAAACTAGTTGAAATTAACTTTTGCAAAGTTGCAGGATATAAAATAAACCCACAGAAATCATTAGCACTTCTATATATTACCAACAAAGTCCAGCAGCAAGAGAGAGAGAAATTCTGTTTAAAATAACTGTAGATAATATAAAATACTTGGGAGTCTACCTGTTGAGACAAACACTGGAACTATATGAATACAATTACAAAACACTTTTTATACAAAGAGCTAAACAACTGGAAAAACATTAATTGCTCATGGGTAGGCTGAGCCAATATAATAAAAACGACAATTCTATCTACATTAGTTTTTTTTAAAAATTAGTTTATTTTTTAGTTTTCAACAATCATTTCCATTAAGCTTGAGTTTTAAATTTTCTTTCTTTCTTTCATTTTTTAGTGAGGCAATCCGGGTTAAGTGACTTGCCCAAGGTCACACAGCTAGTACATGTCAAGTGTTTGGTCTGAGGCCTAATTTGAACTCAGGTCCTCCTGAGTTCAGGGCTGGTGCTCTATCCACTGCGCCACCTAGCTGCCCCTGAGTTTTAAATTTTCTCCCACTGCCTCCCCAAGACAGTGTGCAATGTGATATAGGCTCTCCATATACAATCGTATTAAACATTTTCACATTAGTCATGTTGTAAAGAATTAGAACCAATAGGAGGAGCCACAAGAAACAAGAAACAAAACAAAACAGAAGGAAAAAAAAAGAGCAATTCAAACTCCATAATTCTTTCTCTGGATGTGAATAGCATTTTCCATCATGAGACTTTTCGAGATGTCTTAGATTCTTGCATTGCTCAGAAGAGCCAAGTCTATCAAAGTTAGTCATCGCACAACATGGCTGTTACAGTGTACAATGTTCTCCTGGTTCTGCTCACTTCACTCAGCATCAGTCCATACAAGTTTTTCTAGGTTTTTCTGAAGTCTGCTTGCTCATCATCTCTTATAGCACAATAGTATTCCATTACATTCATATACCACAACTTGTTCAGCCATTCCCCAGTTGATGGGCATCTCCTCAATTTAGAGCAATACCATTCAAACTACCAAAAATTATTTTATAAAGTTAGAAAAAAATAACAAAATTCATCTGGAAGAACAGAATGTCAAGGGAATCAATGAAATATATGTGAAGGAAGGTGGTCTAGACGTACTAGATCTCAAATTGTATTATAAAGCAGTTACCAAAACAATATGGTACTGGCTAAGAAATAGAGTGGTGGATCAGTGGAACAGATTAGGTACACAATAAACAGTAGTATCACACCATGGTAATCTAATGTTTAATAAACCCAAAGATCCAAGCTCTTGGGACAAGAACTCACTACTTGACAAAAACTGCTGGGAAAACTGGAAAGCAGTTTGGCAGAAACTAGGTCTAGACCAACACCTCATACTGTATACCAAGATAATTGGTACATAATTTACATGAAAAAGGTGATGCCATAAGCAAATTAGGGGAGCATGGAATAGTTTACTTGTCAGATCTATGGATAAGGGAAGAATTTATGACCAAGCAAGAGATTGAGATCATTACGAGATGTAAAATGGATAATTTATTTATGCTAAAATTTCTTAAATGAAATATAAGCTCTTTAGAAGCAGGGACTATTTTGTTTATTTTTTTACATTTCTAATACCTAACTGGATTCCTTGCACATGTCCCCAGTATTTTCTTTTTTTTTTTTTAAATTAGGCAATTGGGGTTAAGTGACTTGCTCAGGGTCACACAGCTAGTAAGTGTCACGTGTTTGGTCTAAGGCCTGATTTGAACTCAGGTCCTCCTGACTTCAGGGCTGGTGCTCTATCCACTGCACCACTTGGCTGCCCCACCCCAGCATTTTTAATATGCCAGAAATGTCTCTTCTGTTTTAAAATTTTTACCCATTCAAAACTTTTTAGTTTCTCAGGCTCTACTGCAGGACAGCCTGAGATGGTGTGAGTGTGAGTGAGTGAGTGAGTGTGTGTGTGTGAGTGTGAGATTGGGATTCCAAGGAAAAATCCAAAGCCATCTATCCAACTCTGAAATGAAGAAATCTTCACTCTTAACACCTAACAAGTGGCTGTCCAGCTTCTGCTAATCCATCACCTCTCCAAATAACAGCTCTGATTCTTAGGAAGTTTTTCCTGACATCAAGCCTAAATTTGCCTCTTTGCAACCTGCACCCTTTGCTCCTGGTTCTGACTTCTCTTGCCAAACAAAATAAATGTAATCCCGCCTCCACACGATAGCTCTTCAAATAGTGGAATGCAGCTATCACACCTCTCAGTTTTCTCTCCACTCTAATTTTAATCTTCTGTACTCTAATTTTAGTTTCACTAATTGACTGTGTAGCAAATTCCCTGGAATTTTTGTATTGCATCCCTCACAGCCAGTTCCAGAGCTTTTTTTTTTTTTCAGATGGGGAGAGACTTGGACATCATTGATGTAAAGTGTGGGCACCTTCTTGAACCCCAAGGCAGAAAGGTAATGCCTTTGTAACTGATAGTCTTTTAAGGGTTGCTGTAGATCACAATATTTGGACAATTAATGAACCTGTGAATGGATCCAACCATTCTAGAAAGCAATTTATAGCTGTAACAAAAAAATGTACTAACTTGTGCATACTAATGGTTCCTGCAATACCATTAGATGTATAACCCCAAAGAGATGGAAGAAAGCAGGAAAAGAACTCTTAGGGGCAAACATTTATAGCAGCCTTTTAATTGCAGGGAAGAGCTGGAAACAAAGTGAGTGCCTATCAATTGAGGAATGACCAAACAAATTATAGTATGAAATGTAATGGAATGTTAATGGGCCACAAGAAATGGTAAATGGGCAGATTCAGATCACTCTAGGAGGAATATTTTTTAACATTTAAAAAAACTTCGAGTTGTAACTTCTCTCCCTTCCTCCAACCTCTTCCCCTACCCATTAAGAAGGCAAGCAATATTAT